TTCTAAAAAGTTGAGTGTATGTGGCAGAGAGTACTATCAAACTCCAGTCATAGAGGCAAGCTCTACTGGTGTTAGCGAATGTCCTGCCTTTAATGTAGCACACTTCCGACACTCAGAAGTTCACTGGCCAAGGCTGGCCTCCACCCTGAGCTTTAATAGTGTGCAGACTCCATTCAGTAGGCAAAGTCCATCTTTTCTGTTCTCTAACCCTCAATGAGACCCCCCTAGGTTTCTACAAGTTCTTATCCAATTCCTGGCCTCTTGCCACTCTTTACCATCTACAATAATGCATCTGGTTCTGCAGCATGCCACTCCAGGCTTAAATCCTCCAGCAGCTCAATCTGTAAGCTAAACAAGTGCCTTAGCCAACTTCATGCCTTTCGCACTCTCATCACAACTCACCTTTGTTTATTCCCAACCTTTGCCCTATTTTCCTCTCAGAATTCAGTTCAAAAATCCTGTATCAGTAACTATGAAACAGAAACACTATGGAAGGTAGTTATCAGGAACTCAGCTAACGAGCTTCCTCATTCTCACATCTCACACTTTTGACACAATCCAAGCCCCATAACTTGGCAATTGCCATACTTTTCCACTGGAGCCCAGAAATCTTTCCTCCTGTTAACAATCAGAAAACATACTTAGTCTTAAAGCATGTTTCCAATCTAGGGAATCTCATTTCATTCACCATTTAGCAGCGTCCTCTGAGGCAGACATGCTAGATAGAAATTACCTCATTCAGTAGCACCCATCAGAATAGCAGGGTAAAAATTTATAATTATAGCTGGATAACAAAAAAAATTAAAGCAATGACTGACCATCAGTTTTTCTTTTGTAGATGTACTGTTCCATTTGGAAATCAAGGTTGGTGCCACCTAAGTGGGTTCCTGCTGCAAGGAATTTGAGGACATCCTCCTCCTTCATTTGCAGGACATCAAGGGCTCCGGACATCGTGAAAGTTTCCCTTTAAGTTACGACGGGAATCTGGAAAATAGTAGTTAACAATCTAGTTGTTTTCATTCCAATGGTTAAGTGGGATAAGGGTGCACCCTAACATATAAAGCCAACTTCATATTTAAAAGCAACCGAGAACTGTATGTCAGGCAATAAGCTTAGAGAGCAGTGAAGAGTAAGATACAACCAAAACGTTAACAGAGGCCCCGTAGACAGAATTGCAGCAAATCTTGCTAAGAAAAGTGTAGAACCCAGTTAATGCAACTAGACAAGAACAGTCAACTGATATTCAACACCTCTCAAGGTACACAGAGTTGAGGAGTAGCTAATGGATGAGCAAGGGTAAGAACTAGAAGTGAAATGAGCAGCCGGAGCAGCCATGTTTGAGGTATACGCGAGCTAAGAAAAAGTAAGAAAAATGTGAACTGGTTTCAGGTTATTTCCAAGCACATTGCAGGTAGGCGCTTCGGAATTACTTCGCCGTGATATCATAACTAGTTTGCCTCAAAGCCCTGCCAAAAACCCTAACTCCTGATCAGCAGGGCGCGACCGGGAAGACCTGACCAGCCGAAGGCGCCGGTACGCCAATCGGCTCCCGGGCCTCGACTCACCGCCGTGTCGGAGCCCCAAAGAATGGTAGCAGAGTGCACTAGCCCGCTTTCTGCACCCCCGCAGACCCGAACCCCAGCTCCGTGCCTCCGCTCGAGCGCGACCTTCGCCCACCCCCGGGCACTGTGGGAACCTGCAGGCCCGAGCCCGGCCACGTGCGGGCCGCCGGCCTGAGGCGGAGCGCGCCGAGAATGAAATACACCTGGTCCGACCGGCCTTCATCCCGAGTCTCCGCACCCCTCATAAGCGCAGGGTTCTGGCAGCCTTGGAGGATGCCTGGGACCCCCAAATGGAACTCACCCAGAACAACGCCGTATGGGCCCCTTCCGCGGGTAGCGTGGAAAGGCCCGTCGGCCGGATATGACGTCCTTATATACTCCGTCGTCCGCCAATGGCAAAGAAGGCCAAGCGGAAAGAGGGCGGAGCCGGAGGGCGCGTTGCCGGGACAGGGCTGCTCCTTCCGGAAGGCGGGCTCGTGGCATTGGCTGAGACGCCTGAGAAGGATGGCGGGTCTTGGGGGCGGCGTGGTCCGAGCTGGGGAAGCTGTGCCTTCATGGCTTCCAGAACAGCAGTGACGCCCCGTGCCGGGTCTCACCCCATTTCCCGTCCAGAAGGCGGGCCTGAAGCTAACCAGCCAGTCGCAGAGCTCTTACTCAGCCGTTTGAGTTCGAACGATTCCTCACCTAAGCTGCACTTTCCTTACCTGTATCTCGGAAGGTGTGTTCAACGCAGTAAGCCTGAGTGTTTGGTAAACAAAAGCTGGAGAATTTATTTTCATTTTCTGAAGAACAGTTTAGCAGGACGTAATTCAGATTGTAGATGTTCACTTGCGG